ATCCATTCTCTTGAATTATTTCCTTAGAATAAATTCCCATGGGTGGGATTACTGGGTCAAAGGGTATGAACGTTTTTATAGCTCTTGTCAATATTGCTCTTAAATTGTGGTGTCCAGAACCAAAGGCAATTCTCAGATGTGTTGAGACAGAGCGAGGTGCTGTGGGGCTATTAAGTTCTCAAGGTCTGGACAATATATCATCCTTTAAATCAAGTAGCCTAAGCATTTATTAGCTTTTTTAGTTGCTACGTAAGTGTGACTCGTTGAGCGTAGGGACAACTGGAGCCCTTAGATCTTTTCTAGGCACTGTGCCCCAAAGCTGTGTTTGCATCTGTCCTAGGACCAGGAGGAGGCTTTTGAGGAATCTCTGACTTGAAGTTAGTTTGTCTTAGTTTTCTTTTTTTCTGTAACAACGGCCCCCCCAACTACATAGCTTGCAGGAAGTATTTGTTTATTGTAGTCTTAGCTAAGAACTGCAGATGGCGCTATAAGGCTGTCGAAAGGGTAAAGTAGGTCCCTTCTGCCTCCTTTAAAAAAAATTTTTTTTAAATGAATCTGGTAGTGACAGCTTTTTAATGGGTTCATTACCGGAGTTCAGTCCTTCGCTTTTGTTGAGAAGGACAGAGCAACTGTGAAGTTGTTTTTAGTGTATTACTGAAGGCAAGCTGCAACTGAAGCATGTTTTCCCGTTGTTATTTGATCTTCTAGGGGAATCTGGGGCAGTGTATTTCGTGTGAGAGCTTCGCTTGAACACACATCTCATGCCATTGCTTTGGCTTTTGATGTTCACACCCAAGAAGCTGATTTATACTTTGTTTTATTTTGCCTGCTCTCTCTCTTAGTCATCATAAGGGATTAAAACTTGTTCAACCAGCTGTTGTGTTTATTTGTTTTGAGTTTTGTTTTTGCTACGGTGAGTTTTGAACTATGAAAGCAGAAATTTTATGTAGGGTTCCAGCTGAATGACATTTCATTTCAATATTTTCTTTCTCTCTCTCTCTCTCTCTTTTTTTTCAAATTCCCCCAAAAGGGGAATTTTATTGATTACTTTATTCCCTCACAAAAAGATCAACTGTAATCAAATGAGGTGAACATTCACCTCAAGATTTTGTTGTCTTCATAAAAGAAAAGATGAGGCTTAGAACTGGATCACTTGACCCTTTCTCTTCTTATCTCCTCCCCGTTCAAAATGCTTACATCTCTTAATAGCCGGCATTCTCTTAGATCTGCAGTTGGGCTCACCACATTCAAACCTCAGCACAATCTTCTTTGTAGTTTTTGCCTTTTTCCGGAAGAATAGGCTTAGTCTGTCCACCATAGCCACTCTGCTTCCTGTCATAAGGCCGCTTTCCCTGAGCGAACGGAGAATCCTTGCCCTTTTTGTACGGTGTCACTTTATGAGGTTGGTGCTTGCCACCCTTCTTACAGAAGGTCTGGCGGGTTTTAGGGACATTCACCATGCTTGCGGGCCTGCTATCTGCACAGAAAGAGAGAGGCAGGCCAGAACCGCCAATATCTTCTTCCTCTTTTTCTTCCCTAGTCTCTTCTTTCTCCTCTCATCCACACCTCCCCTAGTCCATCTTTTTATTTGTACATTATTGTAACTAAGCAAAGACTTTGGACTTTCTGGGTTTAAAACTCATTAACAGGTTTCAGCAGAGTAAAGCAGCGCCCTGTATGGGAAATTTGAAAGGGAATCATTTTAACTCATCCTGTGCCAAACCTCAGTTCTGTTTCTGGGCTGAGTAAAGTGGGGAGTACCTGCTGAGCAGTCACTGAGTTTGCATGCGAGCCTAGTTTTGCAAGTACCACATCGCCAGGAAGGAGTGGGAAAGGGTCTGGGGAAGTATAAATGTCAGCTGTTTCCCAGTCATGGATCCAAGGGGCAGTTTCCCCCCGCCCCTTCTTTTGCACTCGTACCCACCAGTTTGGACTTGACTTCTGCCTTTTTTCTTTCTTTCCTTCCTACGGTCCACAGCAGAGAGCATGCATTTATTGTTTTTCTGTATAATTTGGGTTGCAAAGAAAGTAACTGATCAATCTAGGCAAGTGGTGTCAGATTCCTTAAAATTCAGTGAATGCGAGTTCACTGTCTCTTAGTAGTTAACTTTTTAAAAAATTTTTATTTATTTATTTAACTCCATTTGTTATTATTATGTTTTTTAATTTGATCCAACAGAGACAGAGAGAGAGACAGGGAAAGTGAGAAAGCAAGCCAGCAGGTCCAGGACTGGAACCGAGGTCAGCCATGTGGGAATCCAGCACCTTTAACCACCAAGCCACCTGCCAGTCCCAGTAGTTAACTTTCGTTGCACAGCTAAGAGGATGGATCATTTCAGACCCGTTTCTGAAACTAGTGAATTATATTGTGATGTCCAGAACTAAAGGCAATTCTCAGATGTGTTGAGGCAGAAAGAAGGTTACTTCCAACTCTGCTTTTTCCTCCCTCAGTGTGTTTCTTGTTTTTTTTTCTTTTTCTTTTAGTGTGTTTCTTGTTTTGATTCTTCTGCTGTTGCTAAGGTCACTCTTCTTTTCTGTAATATTTTTCCCTTTCTGTTAGTCCAATCTTGACATTTCTTTTATGACCCAGCTTAAGGTTTATCCCTGGACGATGCCTTCCCTGATTCATTCCACCTCCAGTATTTTTCCCCCTTGAATTCTTTCACTGTTGTTGTCCAGTTTGTACTTTTCTATGAAGCATTTTCTTTTTCTTTCTTAGGTTTTTGTCACAGGGTGCATGCACACTTGCTGGAGAGAGACAGAGAGAGGGAGAGTAAGAAATCACTCTCTGGGAGGATGGTCACGTCACAGTTCTTTATCCTCTGTTCTCTTCCAGGGATTTTGGCAAGCATGCACACATGCCCAGTGTGAGTTTTAAGCCATTAGGTCTGGAACTTGAACCATGGTCACCAATGTGGCAATCTAGCACCTCAACCACCACACCACCTGCTGGCCCTGAAGCATTTTCTTACAGGTCACCATGTAATTGCTCTCAGGTGGCGTGGAGGTTAAGGGCATTGGACTCCCACATGGCCAACCATGGTTCGAGTCCTGCACCTGGCGGCTTGCTTTCTCACTTTTTCTCTCTCTCTCATGCTGTCTGTACCTCTCTGGTCAAATGTAAAAATAAATAAATAAATAAATAAATAAATAAATAGTTAAATAAAAATAATTCTAAAAAAATTACTCTCTCGTTATTGTTTGCAACTCTTTTCTCCTTAATGATACCAAAACTCCCTTAGGGCAGGGACCGTGTCTTCTCTCAGTGCAGAAGGAAAGTGAAAAATTGCCCCCATGGGGATGGCTATGCCATAGTTCCTTCTCCTCCATTCTCTTGGGACTTCGGGCATGCATGCACACCTACCCGGTATGTTTTTCAAGCCACCAGATCAGGGACTTAAACTGCACAGCTGGCCATGTGGGATCCAGCTTAACCTGGGTTTAGCCACTATGCTACCAGCTGGCCCTTAGTCATGTGTTTTACTCACAGGATCATATTTACTAAAGACTGATCTCAAGTTTTTTGTTTTAATATTTTATTTATTGAATTAGTTTTCTAGTATTTTTATTTATTTATTTTTGAGAGGTTTTTGCTATAGGGCACATGTCTTCACTAGAAAGACAGAGGAGAGACAGAGAGACAGAAAGAGAGAAATCACAACCCAGGGCAGATGGCCACGCTGCAGTCCCTTCTCCTCCATTCTCCTCTCGGGATCTTGGGCACGCATGTACACACACCTGGCGTGAGTTTAAGCCACCGGGTTCGGGACTCGAACAGTGGTCAACTATGTGGGAGTCCAGTGACATAGCCATTATGCCAACCGCCGCCAACTGCTGGTCCCCTCATCTCAAGTTTTTTAAAAAAGTTTATTTACTTATTTCTTTAATGAGTGAGCAAGAGAGCGAGCGAGAGAGAATATCCCTGACAGGGTCCCGGCATTGTTATCCACCCCAGCCTTTAGCCAGCCCTGGCATGAGCAAGCATGTGCTTGGTACACTCAGGGAGGTCACTGGACTGGAACCGGCAACTTCCTATGTTACTCTGCACTGTATCACCATCTGGCCCCTACAATTCAAGTTTTTTATTGAAAATTTTTTTGCATCTTGTATTTAATTTTATTTATTATTATTATCTTTTAATTTGCTATAGGGCACATGCACTCACGAGTGATTGAGGAAGTAAGCCACCACGTCCAGGACTAAAACCACAGTTGGCTATGTGGGAGTCCTGCATCTTAACCATCATACCACCTGCTCTGGTTCTTGAAGTTTTCTCTTTATTCATGATAGAGCATACATGCAAGCATGTGAGACTGAGAAAGAGAAGAGAGAGAGAGGAGAGCCCTTCATAGGGCCTGGTCCTTCTGTGATCCCTTCCTCTAGTCCTTCAGCCTGTCAGATCTTGGGCACTCATGCACGTGCTACTCAGTGTATTTCAGGCAATCTGAGCTGGGGATTAGAACTGGGGTCACCATATAGGACCCAACTTGTCTCTTTTTTTTTTTTTTTTTTTTTTTTTTTTTTTTGCTATAGGGTGCATGTGCTTGCCAGAAAGACAGAGAGAGACAGAAAGACAGAAAGTGAGAAATCAACCTCTGGGGGGATGGCCACGCCACAATCCCTTCTCCTCCGTTCTTCTCTTGGGATTTTGCGCATGCACGCACACACGCCCAGCGTGAGTTTAAGCCACTGGGTCCAGGACTCGAACTGCGGTCAACTACATGGGAGTCCAGCAACATAGCCGTTATGCTAATTGCTGGTCCTATCAGCTTGTCTTGAGCAGTGTATTACCACTGGCCATGGAGCCAGCCCATTGAATTCAAGCTCTTTTTTTTAAAAATATTTATTTCCATTTGTTATTTATTTTTTAATGTCTTTTTAAAGTAATTATTTAATTTACCTGCATCTACTTTCTTCCACAAAAAGTGACCAATAATTTTTTTTGCATAAATTAACCCATTTATTGTAGGCTAGTGATATTCCAAATGTCTATGGAGCGTCTACTGGTCTTTCAATTCCTTCAGTCTTCTGATGGCGGACTTCACTGTGACAGCCGAGGTGGTGGTGTAGGTCCAGGCACCACCAGCTACCGTTTTCATGCAGGAGCCACGGTGCCAGATCCCCACAGCCCGTCTCTTCATCTTGACTTTGCCACAGAAGGAGCAGGTGTACGTGGGGTGCTGGCTGATTTCAATTTTCTTCACCATTTTCCAGAGGGAGGCACCATACCGAGTCTTGTATTTACCAACGATGCTGACCTTCTTGGTGCGTTTAGCCATACCGCCACCAACTAGGTCCGAGCCCAGAGAACTTTATTTATTTATTTTAATTTGACCAGAGAGAGACAGAGTGTGTATGAGAGAGAGGGAAAGTGAGAAAGCAAGCCACCAGGTCCGGGACTTAAACTGCATTTGGCCATGTGGGAGTTCAGCACCCTTATCCACCACACCTCCTCCTGGCCCCTATTATTATTATTATTATTTATTTTTTCTTTTTTTGGAGAGGTTTTTGCTATAGGGTGCGTACGCTCGCCAG